CTTTATCGTGCCTCAAAGAGAGCAAATCTTTAGGGTGCTCTTCGAAATATCTCTGAAATTCAAGAAAAATAAACTTAAATGGATTTAGTTATGACTCAGGGAAAGTCCCTGAACTACTCCTCTACCATTCTTCCAAATTTAGAGTGTTGGGAAAATATTCACGAGCTCGTCACAAATGTAAATATCAGTAATGGGCACGAATACGAATCACGAATCATATTTTTGTGATTCGTGATTCGTGATTCGAATCACTTGTAAAACACGTGATTCGTGATTCGAATCTATCCAAAAATCAGCGAATCATCCTGCGAATCATCATTCCATTCCCCTTCGCCCATTTGCTGCAATTCAAGTAGAAAAATTCACGTGTTTTTCAGTTTTTTTGTACTTTTTTAGCAAAATTTTTGCGCAAATGATTCGTGATTCGAATCACTTGCCCGAAATGATTCGTGATTCGAATCATGAATCATTTTTCAAACCAGTGATTCGTGATTCGTGATTCGAATCAATTTTTGTGATTCGTGCCCATCACTGGTAAATATCTTTCTACGGTAATGGGGTTGCAACAAGTTTAACCGATGCCCAATTAAAGTAAAACTGTAAGTCACTTGGTTTGGTTTCGTCCTCGAAGACAAGCAGCAAGAATAAAGTAATCAAGATATTGTTGATAAAATCCCCTCAACTGGTTTAATCAAAATAATTGCGTTGCTGAAAGAAGTTCAGATAAGAAGGTGACAGTTCATATCTTCGAAAACAAATCGAGAAATAGAACGTATTTACGGTATGCTTCAAATTTTTCATGCGATTGCATCGAAAGTGCTGAAAGCACTAATAATATGGCAATAAACGGAGAAATTCTGAACGTTAATGATAACTGCAGATAAGAAATTTGTAAAAATTCGTTCTCACTACGTGACCCAAACATGAAAACACTATGATTGATGACGTAAACGAAGAGTTCAAGTGGGTTTATCAACGACAGATAATTTAACCGATTTCGGTTCTTACTTTTAGCCTTTTGGAATTGAAAATCTCTTGTTTTATTTCCTTCAGTCGTGCTTCTCTCACAGCAATTCTGGTGACAGCACGCCATGCATCTCTGGCTCTATATCGGAAACCTTCAACTTCCTGAAGATTAAATTTATATTGCCTGAAAAGCAACGTAATTCAATTAAAAAATATTAATACTCGTTAGAGGGAGCAAAAAATTGAAACGAGGCATAATGTAAAAAGAAACGAACTGCAGAATTTCTTGATCTATGAGTAGTTCTATGAATCTGAGAACTAAGTAATGAAAAATTAATTACTTAAAATTCTTCAACATTCGCCTTCTATATACATCACAAACATCTCAGTTTTACGGTCTTTCACAGGAAGAAATAAAGGACAATTTTGTGGGGTTTCATAAAAATGCCAAAAACTTGGTTTGCAACATTCGTTGGCTCAGATAAAATAACTCATCTCTCTTTTTTCAAGACGGTTTAAATGCATAAAAAATGAAAATCCATTCCTCCCTGAGTAATAACATGAGAATTGAAATTTTTAAAAGCTTACATACTTTCCACTACTTTTTATTAGTTAATTTATAAATTACCAAGATATAATAAATAAATCAGTTGGTATACACTCTATCCAAAATAAAATAATTTCATTTCAGAATGCATTCATTTATGAATTAATATGTAAGTATTTGTAATTTATGAATTTCACACTGCAGTGGTAACATGATTACTAGAGTCGAAGAGTAATTAACAATGCCCAGCCAAATGCCATAAAGACTATAATTATTGATTCTATACTTGGTCAACGAGCTGAGGAGCAAATTAAGTTTGGCGTCATAGTTATCCTAAAAAATGCCACAAGGTGTTGTGGATGATTTTTCAGCAGTTCGGTTGTTTTTATAAAATCATAGTGTATATTTTAAAGAAAGTTTTTGTAGCTCAAGGCAATGATTTGAAAATATTTTAAATGCTAAATTTTTAAAAATATTCTCAAAGAATCCAAAATTCTGATAAATTTTGAAAAACTTTTCCTGGAAGCATAATTTTCAACTTACACTATTCCTACTAGGCACCCCAATTTTGACACTTGAAGTGCTCATTCCCAAAGTAAGTTATCTACAAAAAAATGTATTATATCACTTCTGTGATAGTTGAGTAGGTATGTCACCCATCAAGCGTCAAGCATATCTTTTTGAAAACACAATTTCTAAATCCATAATCTGAGGTTTACATATTTTTAACTACTTTCATAATTTTCAAAAGCGACTTATTTGACAATATTTAAGGCAATGTCAACAAAGATTCATCTGTTCTACCTCCAAAGTGAGCTATGCACTTCTTCTGCATCTAAAATAGGCATTGCTGTAACGAATTAAGGAAAAATCAGAAGAAGCCACAATATATAGCGGCCTTTTCTCACTTATCCAAAATGTATTTTAGCTACCTTGCATTCTAGCATTTTTCTGTTGCCATAATGCATTTTGGATGGCCATTTTGCTGAATAAGCGTTTTTGCTTCAAGCTCCCGACATATATAATCAGTTCAAAGAATATTTTGTTCTTATTTTTTGCCAACAGATCATAGACCTTACATTATATAGACTGAGCTTCGTAATGCTAAATTTGGTTATCAGTGAAGTCAAGACTGGGTATAAGGATAATGGTATAATCCTATACCAACCGCTGGAATAGTTTTGTTTACACACTCGTGGCCACTTATTCCAACATATTTTTACACGCAAAACCGTACTTATGCCATTATCCTTACACCCAGTCTCGACTTCAAGATCTTATCAGTAAACTCAGTCTATTCTATGTAAGGTCTATGCAACAGATACGAGAAAGACAAATAAAAATCCACTCACTGGAAAATTTCAGTCGTTTCACGAAGACCCTCTCTGATGTAATCTTCAACTTCATCTTTCAATGATTGTTCTCGTAAATTGACAAATGATAGAACAACGCCCTGTAAAAAACAAGATGAATAATCGAATTCGAACAGAGGTAATTTGGAAAAATTTTGATGGTTATTTTTCACAAACCTTGTTGGTACCTCTAGCAGTTCTTCCAGCTCGATGCACGTACGCTGCTACATCCAATGGAAAATCAAAATTAATTACTGATGTTACATACTGAAAATCAATACCTCGAGCAACCCCGGATTCTTTATCCTTTTTACGTTTACCACTACAAACATAACAGAAAGCAAACATAATTTTCCTGATTTACCACCTGTAGGTTGTAGCTTCTACAAAAATACAAACATTTTTTTCGTTCCTTGACGATTTTGACTATTTTCTCCTTCCATCGACTTTTCATCAGAAGCTATTAATATTTTGTAAACGTCGTCATTGAATTGGGATACTGCATGACACCTAGACGATGCTGGTAATTCAGAATTCAATACACACGATAGAATTCCAAATTGTTCTAAAAATAATTTCAACCTGCAAATAGAATCACAAGTATAATAATGTCATTCTTACACCAATGAATGAATTTGTACATTTTTGTTGACTTACTTATAACAACGATCTACAGAATTCACAAAAACAATTACTTTTCCAGAAATCAAAGATAACTTCAATAAGGTATACAATATGATCGCTTCTCCTCTTCTTCTGCATTCAGGTAATAATGAGTCAGTTGCGATACAGGAGCAAGATTTGGTTCTTCTAATTTCAAAATTACAGCATTATGCAAAATGAGTTTTTTCAATGTGATAACTTCTTCGGATATAGTAGCGCTAGCTAAAACAGCTTGGTATACTTTTGGCAAATATCTGAAATGAAAAATCATCAAGTATTAGTTCTACACGTACGGGAATTATCGGTTTTTGAGACCCAGGTACAAGTATTCTATGTCCCAGGAGGAAAAAAAATTACAATCTACCTTATCATGTGACTCAACAAGGTGCCCTGACTATGCTTTGCTCAGAGTTATAACCTTGGAGGTACCTCCATGGTTATAACATACTTGCATCGAAGGTTACTAATAACTAAAATAAAATGAAAATGAAACTCACTTTAAAACTTCTTTCACTTCATTTTCGTATCCAAGAGAAAACATGAGATCAGCTTCGTCAATGACCAACATGTCTAAACTTTTTTTCAGCGACAAATTACTGGACTTGAGATGCAGAAGTGCACGAACTGGGGTTGCAACAACTATTTGAGGATTTTCTAAGAGAAGAGGTTTCTGAATGGAGACGTCGACCTGTACAGGAATATAGAATTAATCATAGTACCCATGGGAAAATTTGAAATGCGGCATAGTTAATTACGAGAAAACTGAATCACAAATAACCTTTTCAGAAGTTATAGCCGTTGTAAGATAAGATGATGAAACTCTCAGAGCGCATTGTACAGTGGTGATCTAAGTCCCGATCTCGACTTGAGTTTAGATTTTAACATGATAAACGCTAGACTTAAGTCGAGATCGAGATTAAATCACACTGTACAATGCGCTCTCAATTCACTAAAAATAATACGTCCTTAGGCTGAGGCACTTACTCGTAGCCTCAAGAGCATTGCAGCTCTTCTTGGATTAAAATCAAGTATTCTCAGTCGAAAAAGAATATGAATTGGAGATTAGAAAAATTAGGGAATAATTTTGAAGTTGAAGGGTGGATAACGGAGCTCATTTCAAATAACAGAATTTTAGGATTCAGCTTTCATCGACTCATCAAATTATACCAGGTACATTAATACGAACCTGCGGCGATAAATCAACGCAAGTAACATCCCGGGAGCACTTACACGTCAACTGTAAAATGTGAGCATGAATTTGATTACACAATTCTTTGCTGGGAGCCAATATGAGAGCTTTCACTCCTTCAGAGCTTTCTGTCTGCAAGCCAAAAAAATTGATGAAGAATCTTGGAAAACTATAATCGACAATCGATAGAAAAGCTTACTTGACTGCTCATGATTATTTTCTGAATCAATGGTATGACAAAGGCACCAGTCTTACCAGACCCGGTTCTTCCCTCATTAGAACATCTTTACCATTCAAGAGTAAAGGGATCGCTTTTTCTTGGATCGCTGTGGGTTCTTCCCAGCCCAGTTTGGCGATAGCCTGAAAATGA